ATTCCCTTCAACGATGAATGAATTAATTCATCGTTGGCATGCGTCGATTTTGATCGATATCTACATCGAAGATGATTCTCAAAAATTGAAAGCTGTTGCGCCACGCGTGAGATCAAGTGTGAATCGAGCATACCCTTTCCGCCCCTCTTGTTCGACATGCTGCCTAGTGATGTGGTGCGAGTCCGTTGAGCGCGATGATGGCAAGCGTAAATCCTCAACTCCGTTTATTTTTCCGCTTCTTTTCTTTTTTTCTCAACCGAGAAATAGAATCAAACAATTTCCTGCACGCGCTCGCGTGTTGCGTGTTGTGTCATGTGTTGCGTTCATCCACTCTCTCAAAACTGTTACAACAACAGGGATGAACGGCGCCTTTGGAGTTGGCCCGGCTCCTTGTGTGTGCGCCGCTGACTCTTTCATCAAAAGGGGTTGTAGGCATTGCGTTGCTGCTGCTGCGTGACCGCCGCCACGGCGTAGCTGGTCGACGGGTCCAGCTCCGGCGGCTGATAGGCCTGCGTAGCATCACCATCATCATCATCACCACCGCCATCATCCACGACACTTGGTGAATGCGAGGGTGGTCGGTACCTCGGCCACTGCGTAGGGATTGGTCGGGTCGTTGGTCGGACCACTGCCGCCGGGGAACTCGTGAGAGGGCGAGGAGGTCGAGGCGCCGAAGCTGGGCGTCGGCGGCGGCACGTATCCGCCTCCCTCTGTCGACGAAGCACATGCACCACCGCACACGCATCGTCAGTGGCGGTTGTCGGATGGCACGGGGTACCGGTCGTGTGGCTGTCGTACCGACGTCGGTGTCCGATCGGCCGCTGTAGCCGCCGCCGCGCTGAACGCTCACCCGCCCGAGCTTGCTTTCGACTGGCACAGCCAGGGAGGGCAAGAGTGAGTGACGCATGTTACCGTCGATTGATTGTGGTTGGTCGATCAATCGATCGTTTGATAACCAGAGATTGATGAGTGGCGGGCGAGTGGTGGTGAGCGGGAGGGCGGGCGGGCGTACTGTGAGTGACCTCGGTGCCGACAATGTCGTGGAAGAAGACCCAGAGGATGACGTGCACGGCGGCGAGCACCATGTTGCCCACGCCCGCCACGATGCCCCACGTGCTGATGCCCGTGCACAGCAGGCCCAGCCTGCTCCGCGCGATCGTGTGTGTCGTCCGACATGTGAGACACACACGACACACACGACCCGCACGACAGGGGCTTGGGTGGTAAGGCGCCGTACATGAAGAGGAGAGCGCCGCGGCCGTTGTAGGTGGCCAGGAAGAGGAACCAACGGAGGACCTTGACCCGGATCCAGTTGAAGGGGAAGCACGAGCCCACGACGATGAACACGCCCGCCCTGCAGTACACCCACCCACGGCTGTCAGCAAATATATATGAAAAAATATCAAATGAAATGAATGAATAATGCTCTTAATATTGTGGCAATATAGAAAACGGTCATTGAGATAAATGAATGTTTCGACGCAAAGCTGAAGCACTACGTGAACGAGTTACAAATGAAATTGTCATTAAGAATGAAAAATGGAGCGAAAATGTGGCATAAAATTGAAAATCTTGACAAAAATCGCGTTGTGGGGTGAATAGGAGATGAGAGCGTACAGGAGGTAGATGGAGACAATCCAATGCAGCGGGCTGAGGTCGAGGGTGAGGAGGTTGAAGATGACCACCGGCACGATGCACAGCGCGAAGATTATGGTAAGAAAGTTCATAGTGAGCTTGACCGGCAGACGGGCCACCGTGTCGTGGAGCGAGCGCCAGCAGCCCTTCTTCGGCGTTGGCGTCACATCAGCGCCGCCGTACGTGATCGGTTGGCTCTCATCCATCTTTTTCTCGAGCTGGTCTGGTGGCGCGGTCTGCGTCGCTGCGAATCGAGCAGAGAGATATTACAAAGAAAAGGGAGAAGAGAGGTGGCCGATCGCGAAACTGGAACTTTGTTAATTAATTAAGATACACAGCAGACCAGGGATTTTCCACTCCCAGTCCAAGTCCTGGTGCGGTTCACCGAAGGCCCCGTAAAGTTCGCCGGAGGCAATCCCGCGAGTAGGTGCGGCTATAAAAAGTCGCATCTCGTTTGGTACCTCACTCCTCCAGCGCTCTACAATGTTGACCGCAATGACCGGTACCGCTCGCGCCGGTGCAGCCCTTGCGGCCGTGCTCCTCTGCTGCGTTGCCATGACTGCTGCCAACGCTTCGATCGTGTCCGACGTCTCGAAGCAGTTCGTTCACGGCAGCGCCAACCAGTCCTACACCGAGGCCCTCATCATCGTCAACAACAGGGGTACATCATCATCATCATCACCTCCTCTTCTCACAAGAACACTCATCTAACGAATAATCGGACAATAATGATGAGACCAGAATGGAACGGAGTGTGGAAGCTGCTCGGCTTTGATGTGACGGGCGCATCAGCGCTGACTCGATTCCCCCCGTCCTTTGGTGTTGGCGGTACGCACACCCACACCAGAAGGACATGTAACATATATGTTACTCATACTTTTTTCAGGCGTTGTATGTCACATTGGACCGACCAATGCCAACCAGCCCAGCGACAAGTGGCACGCCACCTACAGCTTCCTCACCGCCACCAACGGTATTGACAATACATGTCCCAATATAAGACTTATGTGCTTGATCAGACTGATTCGCATACACACGTCTGGGCGATCAGGCGTGGTCTTCTTCGAGTTGGACTACGCCAACGGCAGGTCATCGCCCATGCACATCAGCACCAGGACTCGCTTCGAGAACACGACCGAGACCTTCAGTGATTTCAACGCCTCGGGCGGCAAGGGTTTCCTCTTCTCCTTCGACTACGTCCCCAACTAAGTGACGTTAGGCCTCCTCTCCTTACGAAATGATCGAATTTAGTTCCCTTTTATTACAAATAAACTGACCAAATAAGGTAAATTAACTTTAATGTGTTGCAGAGTAACGAGAGTGTGATCTTAGGCTCTATTGGAGGAAAGATATCTTTTATTCACAGGTACTGGCGCAGTCACAGGGAAGAGGGCAAAGAGAGCAGGTGAGCGCGAGCCTTGCGCACGTCCTCCTGGGCCTGGATGAGCAGCCGGTGGGCCGCGATCTTGCGCTCTTTGGCGTCCAGCAGCCGCATCTCGGCCTTCTCCCTCTCGCCCTCCACCGCCTCGCATCGCCCAACGCTGGCCTCCGCCCAGCTCAGTCCAGCCTCCGTAGTCGTGGTGACCGGTCCTCCTGGCGCTGGCGACTGAGCTGGCGCAGGCTGAGGGGGCTGCTGATTCGCGAATTCGTCGCGGTGGCGCCGATCAGACGGTTGAGATGGCGTGGCGGTGGTGAGCTGTCGACGCCTCTTCGGCTCAGGGTCGCTGGCCTCGAGCTGCTCTTCGTCCGCGTGCGGCGGCCTGGGCCGGCCTCGTCGGGGTATGACGCGCGCAGCAGCCGGTTGGTCTCCCACTGCGAGCCAATGAGTTAAGATTACAGTGGAATTGGCGCACGGCGTTAATAACGTACCATTGGTGGAGCTCGTTGAGGTCGTGGTTGCTGCTGATGTGGTTCGAGTGGATCTCGGCCTGGCCGCTGGCACCAAGGTTGGGCGCTGTGGACCCTGGTTGTCGCCTGTATCCTCGTCGTCTTCCAATTTGACGATTTGATGATCGTCGGCGATGAGGCGCACCATCAGGGGCTCCATGGCCACGAGAGCCGACTGGCGCTTCTGCCAGTAGCTGTAGCCGGCCATGCCTTCATCAGTCCACTCGATCTCCCAATCGATTATATGGTCTGGTTCGGAACAGCCAACATCAGCCAACAGCACCAGTTAGCAAACTAACGACCACCAACCAATCAAAATCAAACAACTGCTGGGCGAGTGGCACCTGCGTGTTGCAGGCCAGTGAACGTTGATCCGGTAAAGATCTTCGCGCGTCGCTTCTTGCACACGAGAGAGAAGAAGGGGAAGGAGGCGGGCGCCGAACTCACGGTGCTCTGTGTTACACAGAGGAAACAACTCACAATCCTCATCAAACACTCGCTTTCAAGCGATCCAGGCCGTACGCAGTGCTTCCACAGAAGGTGGAGGATAAAGTCGGCCATGGCCAACAATCGGTCTTCGTGGGGGTGCCGTCTCGCCCAGCCTGTCGACAACTGTCGTTGCTCCTCATTAATCGGTTCCCGTGCAGCACCGCAAAAGTGACCTATGTGGGGACTCGTACCGGATGCAGCCGCATGAAGTCGCACACAGCCATTTGGTGGTGGTCCAAGGCCCGCATGAGGGTCCGCAAAGAGCACACGCGTCGGCCATCGTCGTCGATCTCAGTGTTACGTTCTATGTGGCCCAGCCACCACCACACCGCCGGGCGATAGCCCCAGGGCTTCACTTGGAATGGGTAGGCTTCCGCCACGTCCTGGAAGTGGCACCTGAGCGTCTCTGGGTTGGGTGTTTTGTGTTAAATAGAAATCGATTGAATGAATAAATGTTCAGAAGTGTAAAAAGCGGCGGTACTCCGCAGACGAATGTCTGTGGCTGGTTTGAATGTGCTGGTCATGGTACTCAGTGAGTGCGCAAGTCAAATGTCGAGTGGAAGAGCGTAAGTGCTTTACCAAGAACTAACTCACAAGGCAGAAGCTCGTGAGTGCAACGAAATGCCAACTCCACCCAACAGAGATCCTGCAGATAACCGGTGCTGCTTCTCCTGTTTTCAAGGCAAGCGCCACCGAGCGCTTCGTGGCCGATCCACTCGTTGAAGTGCGCTGATGTGAAGCTGAGGGTCATGTCGTTCGCCCACAAGAGAAGACCACGGCGCTCCGTGACTTTGCCGTCGGGCAATCCGTGCTGGAACTCTCAACGCGTGCCTCAGTCAGGCCCAATTTCGACCGAAACTTGTATTTCAAATTGATTTTCATTGGTCGTGCGGCGCCGCGGGTTGAGAAAGACAACCAGGCTACAGTGAGCGGAGGAAGTAGAGGGGACTGAGGGAGAAGAAGATGGCGGTGCAGAGCAGGGCGAAGAGGAGATTGGTCTCGGCGGTGTTGAAGGGCGACCGCGGCATGCGCAGCCTGCCCGCCCAGCGCTTGAAGCCCCAGTGCAGGCCTATCATCGCGCCGGCGACCACCACCAGCTTGGCCATCAGCGGGACGCCCACCAGCACCAGCACAGCCACCAGGTACAGCACTACCATCGCCCCCTTCTATTTGGCAGGAACGTTGTAGTCAGCACAAGCAACATTGTGCTGGTGATGGAGATGGTGGTCGTACCACCCTCTGGTCGAAGTGCGACATGCAGCGGCGGCCCTTGGGTGGCGCCTGGTCGGCCATCTGGCGCTCGTTCACCAGCTGCGCGATCTGGGTCTTCTGGGCCTGTAACATTGTGAACATGATATGTCATGACGATGATGTAGCAGTAGTAGTGTCTATCGTGGAAGGCCAAGCGCACCTCAACTGTGGCGTGGAGCTGCTCGAGGTGCAGCGCTACGTTATCCTTCATGTGGTCCTCCATCTCCCTCCTCAGAATCTGTAGAATATCAAAAGATGAAGATGAAAAAAGATGCATAAGATGAATAAGTACGGCCGAGGGTAGTGGAGGTGGTTGGTTTGGCGGCCCACGTACGGTCTCGTCGCAGCCGAACCTGCAGGGCACGCTGGCGAGCGGGCACTCGTCGCTCAGATGGGCCGCCACGTCCTTCCTCTTGAGCCCGCGCGCGTAGCAGTCGTTGGGGCACGGCTGGGCCACCTCGCCGCACGTCGCCAAGTGGTCCTCCACCCCGTCGGCCCGCACCACGGCCCCGCAGCTCTCCGGGCACGGCAAGAGGTCGTCGTGGGCGATCTCGGCGTAGGGCCTGGGCCAGACCACACCACCAGAGGTGGCGGCCCGCTTGAGTAGTGCCTGGATGGCCTTGGCCGGGCGGAAGTCCTCGAGGGCCAGCTCGCGCCCGCACGGGCAGTGGGCGTCGAGGGCCGGGCGCTCGACGGCGCACTGCCAGCACCACACGTCACCGCAGCACGGCGACTCGACCACGTCCTTGGGCTCCTACATGGCGGTGTCGCGGTTCATGGTGTTAGCATCAACCACCACCACCACAACAGTCAGTAGGGGGTATGATGAGGAGGCGGACCTTGCCGCAGGCGGCGCACTGCACGAGAGGCTGAGAGGTGGTGGCAGCTGAGGCGTCCTGCAGGATGGAGTGAGTAGGGTAATAGTCGTTGGTGCTGCTCATTTCGTAGTTAATGTGTGGCCTGATGCGGTAGTCTTCGATGTTGGGGTTGGTTCTTGAAAGCTTGCAAGCCTGGCCTTTACCTGCGTTCTCGAGTGCCTACGTGCAGCGTCGGTGACGTGTCGGGTGGAGAAAAAGAATGACAGCTCCCCTTTCCGCGGTTCCGCTTAGGCGCAAACGGGAAAAAAAGAAATGAAACTAAGAAATGAACGGTCAAAAGGACCCCAAAAGGTGTTTGTGTCCGGACATGCGTGGTCTGGGGGAGGTTTGGTAGCATGGCTGGTCTTGTGGCCAAAGGTGTTTATGGTGTTTTTGATGTGGCCCAAGTTGGTCCTCCTCCATCACAATCATTGTTTTCTTCTGATGGTCACTCACGATTGGCGCCGATCAGCAGTTGGTGTAGAGCAGCTTGTTGGGCGTACATGGACAGGCCGTGTCTGTATCCGGTGGGCAGGCCAGGTCAATCACGCCCTTGGTCGCCTCCCGGTTGAGCGCCTTCTCCACCTGGGCCGGCGAGTAGCGAGGGAACTCGTCCAATAGGATCGCAGCGGCGCCGGCCACGTGTGGGCTCGCCATCGAGGTGCCGGAGACGGTGTTGTAGACCACGTTGGGCGGCAGGCCCGGCACGTCGATCCAGGCCGACTTGATCAGCTCGCCCGGCGCGAAGATGTCCACGCACTTGCCAAAGTTGCTGAAGCTGGCGCGACGGTCCTTGGGGCTGCCGGCCTCGGTGGCGGCGATCGTGGAGGCGGCCACGGTGATCGCCTTGCGCTCGCTCGCCGGACTCACCGTGCAGGCGTCGGCGTTCTCGTTGCCGGCGGCCACCACGAACGTCACTCCAGCCTCAACACCAGCTGTGAAACACGGTAACTGACATAATTAGAAAAGATGTAATTAAGATAAAAAGGAACATTACGCACCAGCAACGGCGGCGTTGACGGTGGCCAAGCGGTTGCCGCCGAGAGACATGTTGACGACGGAGGGACGGCACTTCTGCAGGGCTCGGTTCACACTCCAGTCGATGCCCGAGATCACGCCATCCCAGCTGCCCGTTCCACCGCACCCGAGCACCTTGACCTGCAATCACACCACGCAATGAAGTGTGATGGTCATAACACTGAAGGCCGCATTCCAGCTCAGTGGGGCGGTCCCGCACAGCGATGATGTGGACATGCTTGGCGACGCCGTAGACACGGCCCCCGAGAATGCCGGCCACGTGTGTGCCATGACCGAAGCAGTCGGTGTCGATGCCATCGCCCACGAAGTTGGCGCCCCACTCAGCGCGGCCTTGGAATTCCACGTGAGTGATCAGCACACCACTATTAATTACCAATTTAGGTCAGTTTCCTAAAGAGACACAAGTCGCTTTTTTGGAAGAGGCACGTGCCTGTCAAGGACATACGCGTCCACTCCCTGTCCCGTGTATCTGTAGTTGTAGTCGTCGTCCACTTGGTTGATGTCGTGCGTGTCGATGCGGGCCAAGTTCTGAACAACGCCACACATGTGTCACAATCGCAACATGCCGGACTCGATGCCATGGCAGCAGTTGCTGTACCCAGACGACGTCTTCTTGTTCTTTGCACTCCTCGGGCGATTGGAGGGAGTGGACCACCTGATTCTCCTCGACCAGGACCACCAAGGGGTGCTCCCGCACTTTTTGGAGCGAGCTGAGTTGGTGTGGGATGAGCTTGTTGAGGATGATTGAGCACTGAGTGGTGGGGAGGGGGGTACGCGGGCGATAGCTTGAGGTGGAGCGCGCGGAAGCTGTCGCCGATGGCATAACTGCGCTTCAATTCGCTGCCATCAGCGACGAGGGCCGACCGCAAGGCGGCCACGTGCATTTCGACTGGTACCAATCACATGTGACAGTCAAACACGATAATAGGAACTAAACGAATCGGGGCAGAGCGGGGGGGGGTACAGTGGGGCAGAGGAATGTCAGACTGAAGGAGGGCCAGGTACTCGCCGTCGATGTGATGCGAGGCATTGTGGGCCACGTTCAGCGGAGCAATATCTGGAGCATCCCAAGAGGGTTCAGTGTCATCAACAAAGCAGGGGGGCCTCACGGGGTCGGGTGCGTACGTTGGTTGGCCCGGGCGAACAGGGCGCAGTAGAAGAGGACGAGCAGAAGGAGGAGGGGGATGGTGTGCTCTACTAGCTTCATGGTCAACAGAAGTCGGCAAGTGGATAAAATAATAGGTTAGTACACACTTCTATCTGCCAGCCTGCGAGTAGCTCGAGACACCCGATAGTTTGAGCTTTTTCGTGTCCGCGGACCCGGGTGGCCTCACGCACCTGAAGAGGGGGGTGACGGAGACCAACACCAGGCTAACCGCGGGAGTGCACCCAAAGGAGTACCAGTCGCGCAGAAAGGTGGGTGTAGAGACTTGAAAGCACGTCGAACGAAAACACCCACAAACGAAAGACAGCGGAGGACAACGCCACACACATGTGTCGTGCATGCGCGTGAATGTTTGTAAAGTGGAGCTGGTTTGAAAAATGAAAACAACAACAACAACATCTGCGTGTACACCTGTGTGCCAGATGCCTAGACGGCAAGATTGGAGGAGGGGATGTATTCGTAGGTCGACCGCTTCCGCTTCACGTAGAGCCAGCCGCCGCCGCCCACGACCGCCAGGGCAACGATGACCGCCGCGATAACGATCAGCACGATGCCGTAGGTCGGGAACCCGTCGTCGTCGTCGTCCTTCTTGTGCGGGGCGGGCGAAGGCGACGCCGGGCGCGTCACCAAGAAGCCGCCCACCTGGGTCTGGTCCACGAAGAACAGCGACGCGCAGCACCGGCCGACCGGGCACGAGTCGCTCAGGGCCACCAGGGTCGCGGCGCTACACGAATCGTTGGTGTAGAAGCCAACCGCGAACTGGTCGGGCTTGGTCTCCGGGTCGGGCACGACCACCTCGTAGCGGGTGAAGTTGGCCTGGCCGTCGGTGCCGCGGCCGACGTAGCAGGTGTGGGTCTCGACCGTGGTGGTCACGCCGCCGACGCACGAGGCCACGCCGTCGACGTTGGCGCAGCCGTTCTTGCAGAAGGCGGTGCGGAACTTGACGGTGCCGGGCGAGGGCGAGGCGGAGGGCGAAACGGCGGAGGGAGAGGGCGAGGGCGAAACGGAGGAAGGCGAGGCGGAGGCCGATGGGGAGGGCGACACCTGCGAGGGCGAGGGCGAGGGCGAAACGGAGGAGGGCGAGGGCGAAGCCGACGGCGACGGCGACACCTGCGAGGGCGATGGCGACGGCGACACCTGCGAGGCCGACGGCGACGGCGATGGCGACTCTTCGGCGGGCGAGGCCGAAGCCGAAGCCGACGGCGAAGGTGTCGACACTGACGACGATGAGGAGGGCGAAGGCGAGGTTCCCAAGGAGGGCGAGGCCGACGGCGAAGGCGAGGCCCCGAACGAGGGCGAAGGCGAGGGAGAAGAGGAGGCGGCGAGCGGAGAATAAGAGGGGGAGGGAGAGGGGGACGTTGACACTCCTTGAGCGGTGGTGGTTTCGAGGCCCAGCAGCAACAGGGCCACGGCCAGCGCGGCGGCCAGCAGGCAGGCGTGTGTGTGGCAGCGTTGCATGTGGGCACGGTGCGTGGTGTGTAGTGGTGTATTGAGGGTTTAGTGCAACACTCCGCAGTTGCACCTCTTACGTAGTCCCGATAGCAGTCTTTTTCCTCTAACTTTTCTGCCCATTATTCTGATAAAGATCGCCCGATCGTCTCGCACACCATTGGTCAGTTTATTTAATTTTTTATTATTTTTCTTTTTATTGCTTGCGTGTGCGGCCGTGCATCGCGAGCGGCTGGTAGGTCGGGGAAGCTTCACTAGCCGGCGGACTTCTTGAGCGGCGACGGGCTGCCGGTCGGCGAAGGCGACGAGGGCAGCCGCGCACCAAAGATCGGATTGTTCCGCTTGACCGCCGACTGGTCGGCCTCGTCGCCGGCGCCGCCGTTGACGCTCAGCGAGCTCGAGCTTCGGCCCAGCTTGAGCGCGGACCGCCCAAAGAGGGGCGACGACGCCAGGCCCACGCTCGACCGGCTGGGCGACGACGACAGGCTCGACGACCGCGTGGCCACCGAGACAGTGCTCGACCGCGTGAGCGGCGACGACGGCGACGGCGGGCTCGAGTCGAGCGGCGACGACGGCGACGGCGGCGATGACGACGATGAGACGGAGGCGAGCGCGGAGAGGTGCGCGGGAGCGGACGACGGCCCGCCGGCGCCGGAGGAGGAGGGCGGCGGCGAGGCGGCGCCGACGTTGGTGCGGAGGGCGGGCGAGGACATGGAGCGGGAGGAGAGGGAGGACGAGCCGGAAGAGGAGGAGGAGGAGGTGCTGCTCGATAGGACCGGCGACATGTCGCCGTCGCTGTTGCAGGCGGCCTGTCTGCCCTCGCGGTCCTGCGAGTGCTCGTAGCAATCGTCCTCCGACAAAATAATCCTGTGGTGATGATGATGATGATGAAAGAACACGAAAACCCATCATCAGTGTACTGCCGTGCGTGCGTTCGTGCGTGCGTGCGGCGACGTACTTGTTCTTGCCCTCGACGAGATAGTCGTAGAGTGCGGGATCCACGGTGAAGTTATAGCTGTACTGTTGATAGGTCTGCAGATCGCGTATCTGCGACACCAGCATCACGAACCGCTCAAAGTTCACCACCCCATCTACATGCGTGCCGTGTCGTGCCGTGTGTCGTGTGTCGTGTCGTGTGTCGTGTGTCGTGTGTCGTGTGTCGTGTGTCGTGTGTCGTGTGTCGTGTGTCGTGTGTCGTGTGTCGTGTGTCGTGTGTCGTGTGTCGTGTGTCGTGTGTCGTGTGTCGTGTGTCGTGTGTCGTGTGTCGTGTGTCGTGTGTCGTGAGACTCAACGATCGACCGATGATGAAGTTGTCAGGAGGCGAGGGGCGCATGGAGGTACCGGCGATGTAGACGAGGTTGTTCTCCTCGATACCGAAGAGATTCTTGGAATAGTTGGCCAGGAAGGGGATGACCGGCGGCTTGGTCTTGGCGATGGCCTCCCGGTAGTTCCTGAACGCGCCGGGGAAGTCGAACAGGAACTCGAGCTCCTTCCACCGCCCCAGCGCACGCGCCGGCACCAACTGTCGCCCAGCTCGTGTCAGTTCACAGCCTGCCGCGTGCGCGTGCGGTTGTGTGGTGTGTGTTGTGTGTTGTGTGTGTTGTGTGTTGTGTGTGTACCGCCCAGGTTTGCTTGAGGCGAGAGATGGCGGCGTTGTTGAGAGCGGCAACGATGGCGTAGGAGCCGTTGAAGTTGTGGATCAATCGACACTCCTGTTAAAATGCGCAAAGCCACCAAAGCAATGAGGAACGCGTGCGAGCGTGCGTGTGCGACGATGTCCGGGGAGATGGTTGGGGGGGGGAGCGCACCCATGCGGCGAGGATGAATTGGACCAGGAGCTGCGCTCGTCTCTGTTGGTTGGTTTCGAGCACGATCAAGCTCGCTGCCCAGTTGGAGATCGAGTTGAAGTGGTTCACCATGCCCGCCATGTTGGGCGACTTCTCCGGTTTGGTGTAGGCCTGTGGTCACACGCGATGATCAGAGAGAGAGAGAGAGAGATGTGAGCGTTCCGGTGTGGTGGTGGTGGTGGTGGTGGTGGTGGTGGTGGTGGTGGTGGTGGTGGTGGTGGTGGTGGTGGTGGTGGTGGTGGTGGTGGGTTGAGAGCGATGAAGGAGGAGAACCTTGCGGACGAGCTCCTTGGGCGGGATGGCCTTGAGCATGACCTGGTCGATGATGGTCAAGCACTCGGCCAGCTCTCGCGGGACTGTTGTGTGTTGTGTGTTGTGTGTTGTGTGTGTGTGTGTTGTGTGTCATTAGTTCATTCATTCAGGCATGAGAAAGGAATTCGATGAATGAGTCGAGAGGGCGGCACAGTGCAGGGAGGGCGTACAGGTCTTGGCCATGAGCTTCTCCTCGATCGGGTATTCGACTGTCACCGCCTCCTCGCTCACCCCGGACACCACCGGCGCGACGGACGAGGGAACTGGCGGCTGGAGACCCTCATCGACCACCACAAAAGCACAAAAAACAAACAAAGAAGCGGGGCTGATTAGCCAACGAAGGAGTGTGCGTGTGCGTGTGTGCGTGTGCGTGCGTGTGTGCGTGTGTGCGTGTGTGGCGGAGCGTGTGGTCGTACCCGGACGGGATTGAACGTTTGCTTGAGGTGCAGGAAGAAGGAGGCCTCGTTGGAGTTAATGAAGTACGTGTTGTCCACGAATCTGTTGGTGAAGAAGAAGAAGAAGAGGAGGAAGGAAAAGAAGAAGAGGGAAAGGAGCGATCGTGAGTGCCTGAACGGTGGCGGGGAGGAGGGTGAGTGAGCGGGCGGCGCGTGGTGGTACTCGGTGAGCTGGCGCTTGAATTTGTCGTCGTTGGCGAGTTCGTGCATCTCCACCTCCATCCAAAATCGTATGGCGTCCACGGTGCGCAGCCGCTCCTGAATGTCGGGCAGGTGCACCTCCGCCTCCTTGTAGTCGCCCCACATGTCCGTCGGCGCCTCTTTGGGATAACTGCAGTAGAGATCGTTTACCCCCCCCCAGGGCTTCTTGTTAGCATTCATCTGTGGAATGTAAAGCTCGCACATTCCTCGAATAGAACGCCGGCGGCGACGTACCATTCGGTGAGCTTGTTGAAGAGATCGACCGACGGGAGCCAGTACGCTCGGCACAGGATCACCGCGTCTCGGAAGTCCGGATCTGGTGTGTTGCAATGCAATTGCAATTGTTACAAACGGTTATCGCGATGTCGTGGTTGGTCAGTTGGTTAATAATCATTGATTGGTTGACGAGCAACGAATGAACAGGACGGAGGCGGGTAAGGTGAGTACCCAGCGAGCTGAGCCACTTGTCGAGGACCTTGGCCGCGAGCGCGGTGGGCGAGCCGGACTTGACGAAAAATCGTCCGGCGTTGATGGCGTAGACGAGACCCGGGTCGAGGCTGTCGATTTGGATTTCCTGCAATGGGGCGTTGGGTTGGGGGTGTGGGGGGACACAGATGACGCCAGCGTCAGTCAAGCCGCCTCTCACGCCGGTCAAAAAAAACTCAAAGAAGGGTTTGCGCGTCAAACCTTGGACGTGCCGTCCTCTTCCGATTCGCAGTGGAGTGAAAAGTAGTATATAACATTATCTGTGTGCGAAGGAAGACAGAGATTAGTGCGCGTGTCGTGTGTGTGCGGTATGCGTGTGTTGTGTCGTGTGTGCGGTGTACCTGGCAGGGATCGGTGCTGTTGGCGCAAAAATTTGTTGAGGATGGGGCGCGACGTGAGCGCGGGCGAGCCGCGCTGCTGGTAGCCTTGGATTTCCTGCATGACCACGGTGGCCCGCCGGAGCATGGTAAAGTCCACCACGGTCTTGGCCTTGTCCCCGCTCTCGTCCTCCTTCTTCGCCTCCTTCAGTCGCGAGATCTCTCGCGCGAACACACCTGCGCGTGGCGTTCGGTCAGCATGTGCGTGTCGTGTGTCGTGTGTGTCGTGTGTGCCGTGTGTGTCGTGTCGTGCGTGTTGCGTGTGTCGTGGCGGGCGGGAGATTATGGATTGGGGGGGGGTACTGAGGGAGGGTAGAAGGAAGGAGAGGGTGCGGCCCTCCTTGAGGAGGGACGTGTAGGCCTGGTAGTCGGTCTGCTCCCCGGAGAGCACTCGGGCGACCAGCTTATCAAACGACGCCACTGACTTGCTCGGCAGATTCTGATCCACGAAATCATATCGCCGCGTGAGTGAATGCGACGGCGCGCGCCGTGTGTGCCGTCGTGTCGCCGTGTGGTGTGAGTGTGTGGTGTGTGTGCGTGTGCGTGCGTGTGTGTGTCGTGAACAAATAGCGTACGCTCCAGGTCTTGGCGAGGCGCTTGAGAGCGGGGGAACTGAGCGCCGTGACGATCGTGTGGACACAGTTCAAGTTGCCGTTCTTATAGGCGAACTGATGAGGGAAAAAAAGCCGGAGCCGTGTCAGGCACGAGCACAAACTGGGCCAGTGCAAACGGTGATGTGATGAGGGAGATGAGAGATTGGGTGTGGGGGGGGGGAGACAGGTCGTACGCGCGCGATGTCGATGAACTTCTTGAGGGTCAGCGTGCGTTCCGTGAGGTCTGGTCGCGTGAGGATCTCCGACGCCACCCAGTTCTCCAGTCGCGTCTTGTGCTCCTCCCACATGTTGTAGTTTTGCTTTTGTTGTTGTTTGTTACAATTCAGATATGTCGAACGAAAAGTCAGTCCCACATTGCCACCACACACACGACACACGACACACCACGACCGCGCGCGGGTTACAAAAGCGGGTGGTGATGAGCAGTACCTGGCGCTTCATCTCTTCGGGCGTGGGCGGGGACGAGTTCCAGAGGACGGCCAGGAACTCCCACGGCTGGATGGCCACGAACAGGCTCCGCTCGATGAACGTCATCTCCTCCACCACCTGCGCACCCACGCACGCACACAGCGACATGAGCAAGAGTGAGCTTCGCACGCGATGGTTCGACCACGGGGAATTGGAGCGAGAGGTGCCTCTTTGGTGCGCTGCTCGAGGAAGTTGAGACGTCGGGCGATTTTCCGCACGCGGTGGCACTGGTCCGGCTTCAGGGGGATGAAGCGCGCCTTGGCCAGCTCCTCTTCCTCTTTCTGTTTTGGCCCGGCCAGCCGGTCAGCAACCACGGCCATGGCACGTGGTGAGCGGAGCGGGGGGGACACTCCGAAGGAGGTTGGGACCGACCTGTTTCTTGTAGACAGCGTTCTTACGTTCGATGAGCTGGGTGAGCTCGATGTTGATGTTGGATTCCGTCCTCTCCTGTGAAGAGCGTGTTGTCGACATCACATTCCGCAAATACATGGGGACAAGGGTGGGGGGGAATGGGAATGTGGTGGGAGGGGGGCTTACGTTGGGCGTGAGGACGTTGTTGATGAAGAAGGTGAGCTTCTGCATGAAGTTGGCGTCTTCGTTCAGGTCGTCGAAGCCCAATTTCGTCCAACTTTGGATGAGCTCGATTATCCTGGGGTGAGGACCATTCACACAACAATCTTTGCGTGAACATTGCGACCTGATTCGTGTCGGGGCGTATCATGGAGACACGACACGACACGACACGACACACGATGGGGTGGCCGCACCTTTTCTTGGTGCGGTATCGCTCGTTCTCGCCTTCGGCGATGCGCTCGGCGCTGGCCTTGTCCGGCAGGGCCTCCTTCTTGCGGTACAGCTCGATGAACTTCTTGAGGAGCGTCTTGGGCTTGATGAAGAATCTGTAGAGGTAGAGGAAGTCCGACTCGTAGTCCTTGTCTGATGGTGCCGGGTGAGCACAAGAATGCGTGTGCATTCCACAAATATTGGCAAAAAAACAAACCCACCAGTACCTGACTCGCAGTGCTGGGCGTCGAACAGAAGAGCGATGAGTTCGTCGATCGTGCCCACCACCTTCCTGGCCGGCACCACCTCTGGGCCAGGCGGTACCGAATCGGAAAATTGTGACTTGATCGAAGCACGCATGTGCTTGATCGAACTGCGTTGCTGTGATGGGGGAGGAGGGGAAGAGAAACGCGACGGGTCGGTAAAGACCATCACACGAACCAGGACGAGCGCGGGTGTCACCCGTACTTTGGGGACCTTGGGCGAGGACTTCCCAAGCCGAGAGGCGACCTCGCCGCGCTCGATGACGTCCAGCGTAGTGTCCGACTGCGAGCGGGACCTGTGGGGAGGACCACCATCACGGCGCGAGAGGGACCCAAAAGGTTGGGGTGAGACGACGAGAGAGACGCGCGAAGAGAGGGCGCCCGGGCGGGCTGGAGAGAGGGTCGCGTTACGAGAGTGTGGGCGTATTCTTGGACCGGCTGCGAATCTTGACCTTTTCGGCCGAACCCCTGCTCGGCAGCTTGATCTTCGAGCCGCGCCTGGTCGCAAGCTTCTTTTTGCCGCCTGCCGAGGAAGCAAAAGAAGAAAGGTCAGCGCACACGACACACCGCCCACGACACGACACGACACGGCCAACGACACGACACACACCACTACACACAGCTGCGAAAAAGAAGAAATAAAATGGGTGCCTTGGCGTACGCACCGTCGATCACGTCCAGTGGGCCCAGGGGCGTTGCGCTGTTGAAGCGGTCCATGGCCGCGTCGCTCCTTTCCTGGATCCCGAGCAGCTTGAGGGCCTTGGACCCGCCCAGGGGCGAACCGCCACCGCCACCGCCGTTCTTGCTGCTCTTGACGCCTTCGCCCAACCCGTAGCCCACCCCAACGATCCCCTCCGGCGTGTCGAGCACCACGCCGCGGCGAGCCCGCAGCGAGTAGTTGACGCCCGCGTGGGCGAGGTCATCGCCAGCGGTGAGGCATCCGTCGCTGAAGTTGTGATGGAGCTCCTTATCGTCGTCCGAGAGGTCGGGTTCGTAGTCCTCTGTGTTCACCTAGAAGGAGCCACACGACACACAACGACACACGACGACACGACACGACACACGAAGCGAGAGAACAAGATCAGCAGCCGGCAATGATTGCCAACAGGGCACGGGTGGCGTACGTCGTCGGTCTCGTTGGTGTCTTCGGTGTGCTCGGTCGCACTCTCCTCGTCGTCGTCGCTGTCTTCCTGCTCCTCGGCCTGGGGCTGGTGAGCACCGCTGCTGCTGCCCTCGTCCGCAGCCTTGGCCTCGCCCGCGTCAGCCTCCGTCGCAGCAGCACCCGAGCCCGTCGCGGTCGGGGCGGCGGCCGCCACAGCTTTGGTGCGCTGCTGGCCGAGCACTCGCTTGTTGTCCAGCAGGCCGCTGACCGTCCGCTTGCCGATCGTGAACCTGGGCCTGTCGCCGATGGCCTTGAGCTCGTCAGCCAGGCCGCCAGGGGTCGTCGTGGCCTCCTCCGGCGCGGCAGCGGCGTCAGGAGGGCTCTGTGCCTGGTGGTGCTGGTGGTGGCCGCCTTCGTCGTCGCTCACCACTTCGCAGACCACTGCGTCATCGGCGTCGTCGCTCTCGCTCACGCTGTCTTCGTCGTCTTCGTCGCTCAGGCTGTCATCGTCTCGAAAGTAATCGTAACGATAGTGCGGTGTGTCATCCAACACGGACTGGCTGACGCGACGCGCGAGTTTGACGTTGGGGGTGGAGGCGTGTAGACGTGACCAGGTATCGTCTTCCTTCTCTCCCTTGCTGCGATGTGATGGTGTCTTTCCCGGCGAAACGGACGGTAGTGTCTTCGACGATAGGGACTTCTTCATGTGTCCTACTTACTCCTTCCCGTGTTGCTCCTTCTTCTCAATGTGTACGCCAATTTACGATGGGCGCCTTTTGGGCTTGGCAATCAAGATGGAAACGTAGCGAGTTGCGATGGGACTAGGATGAGACGGTTACTCCCTTCCCGAAGTGAGGGAATGTCGATGTGCAAGAGCCTCGGCGCAGGCAGCCACGCAGCGCAGTAGGATCTGATCGAAAGTGGTTGTTGCCTTCGCCCAAGTTTGGCGTCGGTACACGTACCCCTCGACCTGAAGCTCTCCCCATAACTTGCAGCCGTGGACTTCACATTTGGACCAGACCGCGTGTCCCATCTACATCTCGCGTTCGGGTCCGAGAAGAGTAGAAATGCCAAGAGAAAAGGCAAATTCATATTATCAGAGGAATGCCAGCAATTTGTGGGGGGGCAGAGGTGCGCACGGGGTTGTTCGTCGAGGTGAGTCGAAGAGGAAGCGCACCTGATTCGCATTGCACAAAAGAGAGAGATGAAGAGGACTGCGATTTCTGCGGCTGCGACGCTGAGGGCCAGCACTGCGGTGAGCGGCTCGGCCTCCGCCACCCTTACCCGCATGGCTCCCGTCCTGAGCTCCGGGTCGAGCAAGCGCGAGGTGCACGAGATTAATGTTCCCGATTGGGGCCACTACAAGCGCGAGGCGCAGGAGGGAGGCGAGAGTGGAGGCCGAGCCTTCAGCTACATGGTGCTCGGTACCGCTGGTGTGGGCTATGCCGCCGCGGCCAAGCACACCGTCATCAAGTTCCTCGATTCGATGAATCCCGCCGCCAATGTGCGCGCCATGGCCAACGTCGAGGTTGATGTCTCCAACATCGCCGAGGGCACCATCATGACGGTAAAGTGGAGGGGCAAGCCCCTCTTCATCCGTCACCGCACGGCCGAGGAAATCGCCGATGCCGAGTCGGCGCCCCTCACCGACATGCGCGATCCCTGCCCCGATGCCGCCCGCAGGAAGGCCGACAAGCCTGAGTGGCTCATCGTGCTCGGCGTGTGCACCCACCTCGGCTGCGTGCCCCTCGGTGGCCAGGGCGAGTATGGTGGTTGGTTCTGCCCTTGCCACGGTTCTCACTACGATACTGCTGGCCGCATCCGTAAGGTAATTACACACTCGCTTAACAAATCTTCCGATCCCCCCTCATTAACAATCGCATCTCCTTCGCCTTTTGTGATGCAACGCCTAATCAATTATTTCATTTCATATCAGGGTCCCGCCCCTCTGAACTTGGAGGTGCCGCCCTACGTGTTCAAGGATGACTCCAAGGTGCTCGTCGGCGTGGACTCTGTGTAAACTTTCCTCACTGCCAGCCCCCCAATGTTCATTCCACACCATTTTTCTCTTCTCCTTGATTCTCGCTTCACATCCTCGCCCCTTGTTGTAGTTCCCTTGTCATTGAAACAAACAACATCTTCCCAGTATTCTGCTACGATGCATCCTTTCTATTTTGTTTTATCTTGGCGGGTGGCAGTATTGCAAAAAATAGTGTAGCGCCAAAAGCACAAGCCACCGAACACGCAAGCGATCGCGACCGATCTACAGATAAATTCGTGCCATCCCAGCTGTAACCCCAGTCGTTTCGCTTTGCCTTCCCGTACGTGCCAATCTGCCAGTGCAGCATGCTGTTGCACTGTTTATCAATTTGATTGCTTTGCTGCAGCATGGACAAGTACGAGAAAATCGAGAAGCCGAGAGAAGAGGCAGAAATCAAAGACAATGAAATCCGAATCACTACCAAGGGCAAGATGAGGAACTCCATCTCGTATGCCACCACTTTGTTCAAGGTTCGTGCACCCTCACGCCGAGTCGTGTAGACCTTTCGCTAAATGCAATGTCCACTCCACGAATCGGCAGGAGAAAGGCTTCACCGAGGTGATTCTGAAGGCCATGGGCCGTGCGATCAATAAGACGGTCACCATAGCTGAAATCATCAAGAGGAGGATACCGAACCTGCACCAGATCACCGAGATCTCGTCCACCGATATCACCGACGTGTACGAGCCTCTCGAGGAAGGCCTGGACACGTACGTCCTCCCTCCCTTCACGCTTCTGCATTCTCTGCAATGCAGCTCCCGCTAGGTGCACTCAGTTTCCATCGAACGCTAGCGCAGCGTTAGTCGCAACGCCATTGTTGGTTTGCGTGCAGTGCTGTCGCTCTGTATATTCATAATGGTCCTCTGCTCATCGTGCAACTTACGTGCAGAATCGAGACCACTCGTCACGTGTCGTCCATCACAATCATTCTGTCCACCGTGCCCCTCGACACATCGGCGCCCGGCTACCAGGCTCCTCTGCCCGAGGACCAGGTCAAGGAGCACGTGCCCAGCGCGGTGACGTCGCCCACAGCCGGCACCGTCGAGCCTCCCAGGGGTATGCACGAGCTCGTTCGTTCGTTCGTTCTTTTTTACCGTGGCCTGCGTACATTTACATGTGATAGACCCACTGAGCCTTGTGCACCTCTGCGCCTTGTTCGTCAGGCGCTCGTCGGGGTGGTCTTGCGCGTGGTGCTGGCCGAGGCCCGAGGGGCCGAGGAGGAAGGCGGGGTCCTCCGGTTTCTCACCACATCGCCTTCAGCCTTGCTTGCGTGCTTGCTTGGTGGCTCACCCCTTGTCATGTGTCGGCAGGAGGGTGCCGGCGAGCTCGCTCCGGAGGGTTCCGTTGTGGGCGAAGGCGAAGCTCCGGTTCAGCAGGTTAGTCAAGTTGAGCCCCTGTGCATGCTACACTCTGTATCGATTTGCTCAGCACTCTCTCTCTCTCTCTCTTCGCACGGGGCCAGCAGGCTACGGGACAGGTGAGCCAGCAGCAGCCCGGTGGTCGTCCCTTCGGCGAGCGACGTGGCCGCGGTGGCCGCGGCAGGCGGGGGTAAGCCATACACGCAACCTCAGCCATTTTGCTGGTGTCACGTTCATCCGCGTGCGGGTCGGTCGGTGGGTGATCATCGCTGACCTCTCACCTCGCTCTCGTCCGCCGCCTTCTTCAGTGGTGGTGGTGGTAACTTCAACCAGGGCGGCAACGGCTATCCCGTCCAGGTCGTCGGCTACCCACCGCAGCCGCAGCAGGGCTTCATCGGCGGCTACCCGCCGCAGCCGCAGCCGGGCTTCATCGGCGGCTACCCCGGCATCCCGCTCGTGGCCCCGCCGGCCCAGGGCATGAACGGCGGCGGTCGAGGCGGTGGTGGCTACGGCGGCCGTGGCGGCGGCCGACGTGGAGGCCGTGGCGGCTTCTTCACCGGCGGCGACCACCAGACCCAGCCCCAGCAGTTCGGCGCGGAAGGCGCGCCCAGCGGCGGTCGAGGCGGTCGTGGCGGTGGCCGACGCGGAGGCCGTGGCGGCTTTCACGGCGGCGAACAGCAGCAGCACGGTGGTGGCGGATCTCCGGCCGTGCAGCCTCAGCAACCGCAGTAAGTTCGTTGATCCTCCCGCTGGTGCCATCATGGATCAGCGCGTGACCCAAGTCAGCGAACACGATCGTGTTGGTGCACATACACCAGCTCGAGCTGACGCAAGAGATGAAGTGTGAAGGCTCGTCTCGCTCACGAACTGTTGGGGGGGGGGTAATTAATTTGGGGAAATTCGGGGGACGGCACGCGCAACCCGAACCCACACGGTCACCATCGCAGCAAAGCTTAGGCGCACGTCCCCACCAACGGGTTACGAGTTCTTCTTCTTGCGAGCAACGGACACCTCCTGGTTGTGGGTGAGCTTCATTCGCTCTCTTCAAGTCGTCGCCAACGAACATAGATAGATTCGATCCTCCTCGTGCAAGCTTCGTAACTTGCGGCCTCAGAAGATGAAGCAGCGCGTAACGTACGTTGCTTCATCCTTTTCCTGATTCGAGTTCTCTCTAATTTGGGGGAGACAGTTCAAAAGTGAATAATTGATCAGGCCAATCAACATCTCTCCTCCCCTAAGGAGTTCATTTTGCGTGTAGCGCAATCTCTCGTTTTCGCTTTTCAGATTTATAACACATATTCATTCACTTTCTTTCATCTGTGTAGACGAGGCGGTGGCTTGCCTGACGGCTTGCGCCCGGAGCAGCGATCTACGCTCCTCGCCTTCCAACAACAGATCGATGTCGTCAGTACGTCCCCCCCCTCCAACAAATCACGGACATAATCGCGTAGCCAACCAAACGTGTAGCGCCAATTCGATTTCACATTTGTGTTTTGATTTCATTCATATTCTTTAATTCTCCTCCTCCTTTTCTTTGCTTTGTTGTAGATGAGGCGGTGGTGGGTCTGGCCGGGCTGGTCGAGGAGTCGGAGCTCAAGCAGGGCAGCTGCGCGTTCGTCGCTGCCTACCTGCGCCCGTCCGTCCTCCAGCTCCAGCACTCCCTCGACGCCCTCCAGCGCAAGGTGCGCCTGCTGCGTCATCATCACCATCATACGCGCCTTGTCATCTATGTCTATCACTCTTCTTCTCTTCACTAACACCATTCTCGCCTTCTCTCTCTTCTTTTTTCTTCCGTGTCACGAAACGCGCGTGTGTCGTGCTACGGTGGACGATGAACTTTCGTGGCTGTAAATTCACCAGCGTGCGCGTGCGGCGTGGTTCTACTCGCGCATGGTACGCACAGAACACACTCAACACACATCGATCGCCCAGCTGGCAACGATGTTCATTCTTCATTGGTGATCGATCGCTTGTTGCTCGGCAACTGACATGTTGTGGCGCATCATCATCGTCGTGGTCGTGGTGGTGGTGTGCGATGCAGAACCTGCGCAAGGCCGACAAGGGCGCGGCGTGGGCGCTGAGGCCCAACGAGGGCTTCTTCGGCCGGCTCCCGGACTCCGTGATCGGCCACATCCTGTCCTACCTCCAGCCCAAGTCCCTCGTCGCCATCCTCCGCTCCTCCAAGTACTCTCCAGACACTATTATTATCTAATTATTCTTTATTTTCTTAGATCTTATGATTATTATTTCAATATGATTTTATTATGCTTTTATTTTAATTCAAGTAAAATATTGTTTTGATTAAAATTTAAATAGGTATTTCCACGACCGTTGGCGGGCGCTCCTGCCGAAGAAGGGCAGCAGTGGGTCGGAGGTCCTGCCGGACACCAAGGCCGAGAGTCCCCTGGGCCAATGGCTCTCCGGTCTCGGCTTGCCGGTGGAGTACAGCAGCCTGCTCATCTCCGACGGCTTCGAGGACATCGACACGCTCCTCGTACGCGCCCTCTCTCTCTCTCTCCATCGCTCGTTGGTGGCGCTGGTCGCGATTTTCTTATTTTTCTTTACACTCAAACCCGCAGCTGGTGACCGACCAAGACCTCTTCAACGCCGGCATCCGCAAGGTGCGTGTCGTGTGTGTCGTGTGCGCCATGTTTTTCACCCGCGAGCATTGCATTAACGGGTGGATGTGGTCGTGCAGAGTGGGCACAGGCGGCGTATGCTGTACACGCTCCGGGGCATCAGGCGGGGCTTCTGGACGGCCTTCCCGGCCAACCAGCTCGTGCTCCCGCTGCCCGCCGACGTCATCACCTCCAACGCCCTCGCCCACACCACCGAAGACGAAACCGACGACGTACGTCGTGTCGACACCAAGCCACTCTCGTTCCTCTCGACTGACTGGCTTCGGCTCGTGCGTGTGTGCGTGTGTGCGTGTGTGCGTGTGCGCGTGTGTGCGTGTGTGCGTGTGTTGCATATGTCAGACGGTTGGAGATGACGACGACAGGCGGTCGCTGACAGACAAGAATGTCGAAGACGAGGAGGATCTCAGCGAGGCGGTTGCCACCGACACCGAGAAGGACAGCGGAACGAAAGGCAAACCCAAGGTAGCCGAATCACCCGACACCAAGGTGCCCCTCTACGCGACACGCACCGCACACGCACCACCGCACACACACACGCACGACACTCGCTGACGTGGCGCGACACGCACGACACGCAGCAGGACAAAAAGAAGAAGGGATCGAAGAAGGAGAAGACGTCGAAGAAGAGCAGCAGCCCCAGTCGTGGCGTCACCTTCGAGGGCTCGCAGCAGGCCAGCTCCGACAAGGCCAAGGAGGCCAAAGAAAAGACCGATTCCAAAGTGCGCGACCTGTCGTGTCGTGCGTGTAGTGCGTGTCGTGTGTGTGTCGTGTGTGCGGTGTGTGTCGTGCGGTAAGAAAGAGTCTCACACGCAAACAACAACAAAAAAGGCGTCGGCGAAGCAGGCCAAGCAGACGAACCCGAAGCCACCAAAGATCGATCCGCTGCCGGACAAGATTGTCTCCGTCGATTACTCGCGTCGCCAGCTGACCTCCGTCCCGCCCCAGGTCTGGCAGAGCACCGATGCCACCATCCTCAGTACGCCCCCCTCCCATGACCCACCACCACCGTCATCTCCGCACGCGTGTGCGGTGCGTGCGTGCGGTTCATCTCATTGCCGTGTGTGTGTCGTGTGTGTGTGTGTGTGTGTGTGTCGTGTGTGTGTGTGTGTGTGTTGTGCGCAGACATGTACATGAACAAGCTCGAGTCGATTCCGCCGGACATTGGGCACCTGAAGGGTCTCACGGCCCTGGGCCTCAACGAAAACAACCTCAAGAAGCTCCCGCCCGAGATCGGCAACCTCACCCGCCTCCGAATACTCGTACCACCGCCGCCGCCCAGCCTCTCCAGCCTCTCCGGCCACCATCATCGACTGACGCGTCACAATGTGTGGCGTGGTGTGGTGTGGCGTTGCTTTGACACAACGAATGGTGAATGCAGGACCTGCGGTACAACAAGCTGCGAACCGTGCCGGCCAACATCAAGCACCTCACCCAGCTCTCCAAACTGTTCCTGCGCTTCAATCGCTTGGTCGAGCTCCCCGAAGAAATCGGCTCCCTCCAATCCCTCGAAATCCTCAGGTGCGCGCCACAATCATCTTTCCGTGCGTGTCGTGTCGTGTCGTGTCGTGTCGTGTCGTTGGTCGTGTCGTGTGCGGTGTGTGTGTGTGTGTGTGTGTGTTGTGTGTGTGTGTTGTGTGTGTGTCGTCGGTTGTGGTGTGGTCTCACGCGCTCGATTTGTTGTCCGGTTTTTCGTGGACAGTGTGCGTAACAACCAGTTGACGTCGCTGCCGCGTTCGCTGGACCTGGCGACCAACCTCAAGGTGTTGGACGTGAGCACCAACAAGCTGCAGTTCCTCAACTGCAATCTGTCGCCCCTCATCTTTTTGAAAGAATTAGGTAACATACACACACACCACACGCAGACAACACACGCAACAAAACACTCACACACATCACTGACGCGTTCGCCCTCCGCAGATTGTAAACAGAACATGTTGTCTGTGTTGCCCACGGGCTGGTCCACCCTCTCCAACCTCACCCGCGTCGACCTCTCCCACAACCAGGTAAACATCATCATCATCATCATATATCATCACATGCCATCGTCATCATACATCATCAACACTCAATTGTGTGTTGTGTGTCGTGTCGTGTGTGTGTGTGTGTCGTGCGACAGTTCGCGCAATTCCCTCCGGCGCTGGCCGAACTGCCGAGCCTGGCCGAGCTCGACATGGAGGGCAACCAGTTGACCAGCCTGGTCGACATCGGCCAGCTGACCGCGCTCGAGCGCCTCTACCTCAACTCCAACCGGCTCGTCACCCTGCCCCCGTCCATGGGCAAACTGCGGTCGCTCAAGTACCTCCAGCTCCGCGCCAACCAACTCACCTCTCTCCCCGAAGGCACGTCCTGTGTCGTGTGTGTCGTGTGTGTCGTGTGCCGTGTGTCGTGTGTCGTGTGTGCGTGTGCGGTCATGTGCTGATGAATGCGGGGGTGGTGCAGAGATGGCGGGGCTGGAGCTGAGGGAGGCGGACCTGTCGAGCAACAACTTCAGCGAGATGCCGGAGGCGATCCTCGTGAGCACCCTCCAGAACCTGTCCATCACCGACAACGTCATGACCAAGCTCCCGCCCACCATCACCCGCCTCCAATCCCTCAAGACCTGCAACCTGGAGGGCAACCAGCTCGAAAGTACGCCTCAACGCCACTATATTGATTTATATCACTATATTTCATACATTCATATATATATATATATCAACATAATTCTAATATATGTATGTACATATGCATATGATGTGGTTACAACAGGTCTCGACCCCGGTGTTGCGCTCCTCACCAACCTCGTGCACCTCCGCCTGGGCTACAACGAAGTACGCATCTCGCGCGCCCCGCGCGCCCCGCCCCACAGTGTCGCTCTCCCTGTGCGTTGGCGCTGACGTGGTGTGTCGTTTGTGTTTCGTCGATTGCAGATCAGCACGATTCCCGACGAGGTGTCGAGGATGTCGAGCCTCCAAGAATTGGGTACCACGCACCCCCCCCCACTTGTCTTGCGTGCCCTTGTGTGCGTGTGCGGTGGTGCGGGTGCGTCTTTGCTGACGCGCGTGCGGTGTTGTGTGTGTGTGTGTGTGTGTGGCTGTGACCAGACCTGGAACACAATCGACTCGAGTCGCTGCCCCAGACCATCGGCGGCATGCTCGCCCTCTCCCTCCTCGTCCTCAACGAGTACGAACTCTCCCTCTTCCGTCATCGCGTGCGTTCCGCTCATCACGCACACGCGACACACGCACACGACACACGCACGACACAGCAATTTGCTGGACGATTTGCCGAATGAGCTGGTGTTGCTGGACAAGCTCACGGAGCTCAAGGTCGATGGCAACCCCATGAAGAACATCCCCGATGCCGACCAGGGCGGCAATGCCGTCTTCCACTTCCTCCTCAAGCGATACAAAGGTACACACGCGACACGCGACACACGCGACACAAAGGCTAGCGTGTGGGTGCGGGTAGGTGGCTTACGAAAAAACGTTTTCTTCGGTGCGTGCACACAGCGGCGAAGAAGGCGGGCAAGAAGACGACAGCCAAATGAAGATGATGCTGATGATGACATTTGCGATGGTTCCGCAACTGATGTTGAACAGAACGCTTTCTCTTTTACACTTTTTTCAACGCACACCCTGCTTCTCGTGCGGCTATGCCCAGATATGCTCATCGTATCATTTGTTTCTTTCAAACGTCGGACAGCTGTCATTATCTTCGGCTCCACTATCTTCGGCTCTCAACCGCAATCCCAGGAGGAAGGTTGATGAACGCGCAAGAGAAGCCTTGCAATCGAATAAAAAGTGGTTTATTTACATTCGAAGAAGAGAGGACCCTGCACACTTGTCCGACCCATCCGTCCACTCGCCACTGCCCGTCACCCACACCGGCCACCTCACCTCACCAACCCCATCTCTCCCTCTCTCTCTCTCCATCTCGCACTCGCCACTCCCCTCCACAGCCAAACACCTTAGTAGTGGCTGTGCCGAGCACCGCGCCTCACACCACCCACGCGCACATGCAAGACTCGAGGCCCTCGCCGGCCTTAATGGGCTGCTGCACCGCCGACAGGCTCACCTGACCTCTCTATCTCTCCATGTGTGTGGTGTGTGTGTGTGTGTGTGTGGGGTGTGGGGTGTGGGGTGTGGGGTGTGTGTGGTGTCGTGTGGTGTCGTGTGGTGTGTGTGTGGAGAGAGTCGAGAGACCAGGCTTGCCCATCGAGGCGGCACAGCCTTGCCCAGCCGGGTCATGGGACCTGTTCATCATAGGCATGGCGGTGGGGTTGGTGAGGGGGTGAACTCGGCCACACCAACTACGGTGTTGCGTGGAGTTGGGATGTGTTGAGTGGGGGAGGAGGAGGAGGAGAAGGGCGGTGGTAGTGGGTTGGTCCGGTTGGTGGGTTCGGGGTTCAGTTGGCGGCGGAGGTGGCGACTTGTGTGCTCGGGGACTGGGATGATCGAAAAAGAAAGAAACACCCCCAAGTCAGACAAAACGATACGACAAAGCAGAGGCTCGCGTCGAAGAAGGCAATGGGAGTACCTCTCTTGCTCTCTCGCTCTCTCGCTTCACTGCGACCACATCCAGCCGCGACTAAGGTCTGTCGCGTTCCTGTTGCACATGAAAAGGAACGATTAGCCAAGCGGTTTATCGAAAGGAGAGAGCGGGCGAGGAGATTGGTACCGGAGAGAGGCGGGAAGCTGGTGCAGCACATCGCGATGGTTGTCGTCATTGTCGTCCGACCACATCCAGCCGTGGTTCAGGTCTGTCGCGTTCCTGTTGTTGTGCATCAAGAAAATAGAGAGAAATAAGAAAAGAAAGATGATTAGCCTTAGATGAGGATGAAAGAGAGAGCGGGCAAGGAGATTGATTACCGGAGAGAGGCAGGAAGCTGCTTGAGCACATTGTTAAGTTGTTGCTGCTGTTGCTCGTCATCGTTGTCGTTGTTGGTGTTGTTGTCAGTCGTGCTCTCCGACCACATCCAGCCCTGAGTCAAGTCCGTCGCGTTCCTGTAGTCGTAGTCGTAGTGGTTGTAGAAGTGGTCAGCAACTGTGGGCGCACAAGAAGGAGAACGCGCAAGAGGAGGGTACCGGAGAGAGGCGGGAAGCTTCTCGAGGATCTTGTCCTCGTGGATGTTGTACTTGTCATCAGTCTTGTTGAGTGATGTGCTCAACTTGGCGTTGATGAGCTCCTCGAGGATCTCACCCTCGTGGATTGTTTCCTGATCATCAATCTTCTTGTCGAGAGATGTGTTGGACTTGGCGTCGATGAGCTCCTCTGTGTGGGTGGGGACTTTGGCCACGGGCTCGAGAGTGGTGGTGTTGGTGTTGGTGTTATTCCTGTTGAGATGATGAGAAGGTTAATGAGGAATCCAAGAGAGATGAAATGAATCAAAAGGAGCAACATTGATGGAAGTTGGAACGTACGGAGAGGGGAGGCTTGTGAGATCGAAGAACTGACCCATAGTCATGGGATTGGGCGCCGGCGCTTCTTGCGCGGGGCGAATCCATGTCGGCTGGCGTTGGAGATGGAGAGCAATTTCAATGAGGGAAGAGAGATGGAGAGGACAAATTGAAAGAGAGGATTGAGTGGTTGTGCGTACCTGGTTGTTGCGCACGGCGGCGGCAAGAAGGCGGGCCAGCTGCGCTCGCTCTTCTTCGATTCTCGCCACTTGGGCGGCGAGTTCATCGCGCTGGTGTTGGACGTTGAGCAGCTCGGCCACTTGGGCGGCGAGCGCATCGCGTTGTTGGTGCGAGGCGGCCAAATCGGCGGCCAATTTCGAGTTCTTGATCTTGGTCTCGGCCAGGAGCTTCTTGGCCTGCGATTTGCGCCACGCCGCAAAGGTCGTGGTCTTCTTGGAGGTCTTCTTCTTCTTCCATTGAGTCAAAGGAATCTAAAGGGAGTCGAATCGAGTTGATTAGAAAGCAATCATGTAGCGAGTTACAAATTACTATTTTCTCAACTTACCAAATAAAGGCGGATTAGGAAAGGGGTGCGTACCTGTTGAGACCTCTCGAAGAAGTGGATGGTGGTGGGCCGAGGAAGCTGCTTCATCGTCGGCGCTCTCACGGCCTGGCTCGGCTTCGCGTAGATGTTGGAGGTGCTGTTGTAGGGAAGGCGGAGGGGCGCGAAGGGACCCACGCGCGCCTCATAGTCGTTGTTGTCGTTGGACATGACCTTCGGGGAGGTCAGGGTGATGACGAGACCCGAGAAATTTATCAACACGAAGAACGCCATGATAAGCTTCATGGTGATCGTGGTTGCCATCGTCGCTGCTGTTGAGTGATGATGGTGGTGCTTGTGCTTCGTGGTGGGTGAAAACAAAAACGAAAAAGACAGCCTTCCTTCGAAGAAAGTTGACCAAAGCCGCATTCATGTTGGGATTAATCCACGTTCTGATGTGCTTCTTGAAAACATGCTTGTGTGGATATATCCCTGTTCTGGTACATGCTTCGTGAACACGTGGATATGGGATGGTTGGTCATCGTGGTGTGATTCTAATGGTGACGATGGGCCGCAATGAGACACAGACTCTTGATTGTCGTCTTCATCATAACGTCGTCGATCGTTGCAATAACAGCACTCCTCACGAAGAAGAAGAAGGGGGTGGGCCTGGAACAATAACAATAGAGAGCTCTTTATTTGTGCTCAATACGTGCAAGGATGGTCTTGACTTCCGCGTTGTGCACCGAACAGGCGTACATCGCGTTGAGGAGGGCCTTGTTTTGTAAGTGCATGTTATTGAGCCTCTGAAGAAGAAGATGATGATGTTGATGTTGAGTTGATCAGCCAGCACAATAATGAACTGAGGCGGAGGGCAGTAGTACCTCGGTCGTGGAGGCCAGCTTGACGCAGAGGAGCTTCTTGCCGAGCTCCAGGTCCGAGCATCGGCTGGAGAGGTGCGACACCGTGTGCTCCAGACCGCCGGCACCATGGCCGGGGTGTCCTCTTTTCTGTCGACCGCCGCCCGCCGCAGCTGCCGCCGCTGCTATGCGTTCCTCTTCGCTCTCGCCTCCGGACCCACGGCCCCGCCGCCTTCTCCTCTCCTTCCCCTCCTTGTCCCGCCCGCTTTGTTGTTGCTGTTGTACGTCGCGGTGCGCGGTGCTGCTGCCCGTGCGCGTGTGCTTCCGTCGATCTCGTCGTCGGCCCGACGCATCGTCGTCGTCGTCGCTGCTGCTGTTGCTGTTCGCCTCGTCATCGCTGTAGCTCCCCTCGCTATCGCTATTGTCGTCATAGCGTCGCCGCCGGCGATGGTGGTGATGGTGCCTTCCTCCCCCGCCGCGGCGTCGTCCGTTGCTGCTATGTACATTGTCGTCGTCTTCGTCGCTGCTGAACCTCAATCCCTTTCTCTCCTCCTCTTCCTCTTCGTCTGAGTCGTCGAGGCTGCGATCGCTCGCTCGTTCCCGCCCACCTCCGCGCGCCTTGCGTCGTCGCCCAGACGTCGCCCGCGTACCGCCGCCGCCACCACCAGAGGCTTTCGACGGCCGCGACGGCTGCTGCTGCTGTTGCTGACGTGGCGCCGCTGGTGGTTGGGTGGTGGCCGTCGCCAGCCGCTGCATCTGCTCGCGCAGCTCTTGCATCTGTCGCTGGAGGTCCTCGATCATGCGGCCCTGGGCCGCGTTGGCCTCCTCGAGCGCCCGGTTCTGCTCCTCCTTGCGGTTGAGCTCCTGCACGGCGTCGGAGCACATGCGGATGAGCTCCTCGCGGTCGCCGCGCAGCCGGGAGATCTTGGGGATGAGGTCCTTGTCGATGTGCGCGATGGAGTCGAGGTCGCCCTGCTCGTCGTCGTCGTCGCCCGCGGCACTGGCGTTGAGCAGCGCCTCGAGCTTCTCGAGCGTGCCGGCGCGCTGCTTGAGCTGGCGCTGCATCCACTCGGCGCGCTTGCTCGACTTGGACTTGGCCTTCTCTGTGGAGCGTAGCGGCGACAGCGGCGTAGCGCCCGACCCGACGCCACTCCAGGGCTCTCCACCGCCGCCATTCCCTGCACGAATCCCAAAAGAAATGAAGAGAGCGTCGTCAATGGTGTACATTTATTTATTGATTGATTTGATTTATTTGCAATACAACAATAAGTCCAAATCGTAGTGGGGCGAATAGATGGAGGGGACGAGGGCGCACCATTTGCAGCCGAACGAAAGAAGGCCGAATCGCTGTCGGCGCTGCTCAGGGCGGCATCTACGTTATTTGTGGTCGGCGTACGCGGAATCACCAAGTGCTCCCTGCGCTGGCGCTCGGTGCGTTGGCCGCGTCTTCGGCCTCCGTCGTCCATCATCTTTCGTGTGGGCGCAACGGCACGGAGAAGAAATTGTTTTTCCTGCGCCACGTCAGCAAAGAAGGTTTGGGCTTCCGCGAAGCAAATCTGGTGGCCATTCTTTTTGAATTCGATTCATCTTGGAAACGTGCACGCAAGCATCTCGCCGCAGCAACTGACGCTTTAGAAAGACAACATGTCTACCGCGCGTTTGCCCCCCAGAATTGTCAAGGTGTGCTTGCTTGCTCTTTGCAATTTCGCGTGTCTCTTAGCATTTGCTTACCGAGATACCATCTTTCTCAACAGGAAACGCAACGCCTGATCAGCCAGCCAGGTATGCCCTCCTTATTGTTTCCTATGCGTTGGTTATAGGGCACCCCTGATGGTTCTATATTTCCATCTCAGCCCCTGGCATCAGCGCTACCCCCCACCAGGATAACCTGCGTTACTTTGATGTTATTATCGCTGGCCCCTCTCAGTCGCCCTATGAGGGAGGCATCTTCAAGCTCGAGCTTTTCTTGACTGAAGATTACCCCATGAGGTGCTTGCCTGCCATTCTGCGATTTGGGGCGGTTACATTTCGGCAGATTACTGACCTGCCGCTCTTCAGCCCCCCGAAGGTGCGATTCTTGACGAGGATCTACCATCCCAACATCGACCGACTCGGCCGGATTTGCCTCGACATTCTGAAGGACAAGTGGAGCCCCGCGCTTCAGATCCGCACAGTTCTGCTCAGCATTCAGGCGCTGCTCAGTGCTCCCAATCCCGACGATCCCCTCGCCAACGACATTGCTCAGCACTGGAAGACCAACGAAAAGGGAGCCATCGATACTGGTACGCCCTTCGCCATATCAGCCTCTGCATCCCTGCGAATCTCGCATCTCAATTCACTCGTCTCTGGAATGCTAAACGTTTGTGCTCGGCAGCTCGGGAGTGGACGAGGAGGCACGCAATGTCCGACTAGACTTGTCACGTGTGCATCGAAACGGTAAGAGCAGCAACCTGAAAGAACAACAAGAGGGGAAGGTATGG